ATAAATCAGGATTTTTTTTCTTTCTTTGTATGTCCTCATGTCTAAGTTGTTACATCGTTTTGTCCCTACGTTGCAAATGTGACCCAGGCTTTGACAAATGTCGCCAACAGCGTTTCCCTTACATTCTCGGGCGATGTCAATTTTTCAGCTGAGGTGAATCACGTTCAACTTCCTGATTTAATTTGAATTTGGTTTTATAGGTTATAGGTAAGAGATTATAATCTTTCGGTTGTAGGTCGTGAGCGAGGCCATTGGGGCAATAGTTCTAAAACATGTTTTTGTCGGATTCCTCTGACTGATGAGGTGTTTTTGTTAATGACTAAGACCAATGTTTCTTTTGAACAACTCATAAAAACATCAGAATGGATTAGCCATTAAACCCTTTCAAACAATTTATTACAGATTCAGTAGCCATCAGAAACTGCTCCCCATCATAAAACTTTTCCTCATGAAATTAACCATCACCATCCACTGAATCCACTAAAGCCTGTGGTCCCCTGTGCTCTGTACTGCACCAGGAGGCCAAGTAATGAGCTCCTGACTTCACTGAGATATTCATCTATTATTCAGTGACGACATTATCAAAGAGTTTAAGTACAAGTTCTTGTGAGCTTTAGCGTGTAATTTCATCCAGATGGTATTTTCCCCCAGAAAGAAAATGAATAATGATTTTAGATATATGAAATTCATATATTTGCACTGCGGTGAAGAAACGAATCTAAGAGATCATCGCAGCTAAGAACACTACTGAGCTAGTAGTTGAAAATAGGACCTGAAAAAAATTTAGGCCCCTACGGGATTTCAACCCACGACCTCTGCGATACCGGTGCAGCGCTCTAAAAATGAATATTTATCGTGAACAGTACAGCAGTACAAAAGAGAAGTACTCAGCATTCGACAAGTGAAAAATAATTTCTTCGTCATCAATTTTTTTTCTACATATACGTTTTAACCCTTGACAAGGAATAGACCGATAGCTGACCTGAAGGCCTCTGTTTTTGTAAAATGAGAATACGAAATACTGAAAATGGACAGACGGGTCGAAATGAAAATGGGAACAATAACAGAAACCCTTTACGTGATTGGCTGAGGAGATACTTGACTCCTCAGGACATGCGCAAATGGATAGCAGCCCAGAGTGCATTGCGTCACCAGACAAAGACCAGCAGCGAGAAGGGAGCGGCACGTTTACCAAGATGGAGTCAGAGAGGGAACAAAGTAAGCCATTTGCTCGTGATAAATTCTTATTTTTGCGCTGTTGATGACGTTTTTATATAAATGTTTTACTCTATCAAGTTTCTGTGTTGTTTAAGTCAAGTCCTGGTAGTGTAGAGGGGCCCTGAAGTGGCATGGATTTGCCGTAATTTTGTTGGGCTTTTTAGTTCATTCTTCGTTCGAAGGGTTTGGTAGCCATATTTTTCTGCTTCTTCAAGCCTTTATCGACGCCTTTTTGTGGGGGGAAATCGCCTTTACAGTTCCCGATTTCTTTCTGTGGATTCCTTCATTCGTGAAGCACGCGGTATGTGACAAGGAAACATCTGTTGTTGCCTGTAGTTTTAGCTTTCTTGCCGAATGTTTGATTTCGATGTATTTTCGCTTCTTCGATGGTCGACGCATCGCATGGGTATTCCCTGGCCCCATTACCCCCTTTTTGAACGATTTTGGTTCCTTTCAGCCGTGGTTTCTTTCACATCGAAACACGTGGTTAAGAGATTAGTCTTGTGACCCTTCTCTCTTCGAATAGATCTTGCTTTCCATTTTAAACGGTTTTCGGAGGCTTTTCGTTCTCCTTTAGTTCTTTGCCAATCTCAGCCCCCATTTTCTAACATGGGTACAGCCCTCGAATCAAGCGGTGTCTTTGAAGCGAGTTTACTGGACAAAGCTGCTTCGACTATTCCACAGCGAACTAAATGGCGGATAATGATTCAGATAGCGACGAAGAAGTCGATATTCTCTCAAGTGTAGACGAAAGAAAGAGACCAGTGATGTTTGGAGAACATTTTACCCACCATTTTCAGCCGTCGTCCATTTCTGTAGGCCATATCGGAAGCCTTCATGGAACAACCGCCGTTTCATTCTTCGGTCACGAACAGACAACGAGGTAAATTCCTCTTGCAAATTATCCCACACTTTGGACGCCATATTTTCTTTGTCTTTTTGATCGAAACGTGCATGTATGTATCCCAGATTGCGCGAAGGTTCTGTAATTGAATGATTGAACACTGGTGTGAAGGGAAGAAAGAGTAGATTTCTGTGCCAAACGAACGAGAAGGAAAGAACTTGCGTGGTAACAACGTAACAATACAATTTCTTTGCTATCGATGCGTTGCGTGTCGCTCACAGAACATCGAGTGGCCATGATTTTGACGTATTTTCAGTTAAGAAACAGTATGGTAATCTTCATTAATCCCAGCGAAAACCTTTCCCTTTCTCTTTTGCCTCCTTTCAACATAAGATGAAAACAGAACGTCGCACGAAATTTTCTGTCTGAAATACATGTACGTGTTAGAAACAACGCCCTGTTTGTTATAAGTTGTCTTTAAGTTTCATGTTGAATTTTTTTCGTCGGTTTGTTCCATCGCTCTCTCAGACTTTTGAAACAAACAGCAGAGGAAATGATCTGCCTAAGGTAACTAAATCTTTCTTCTTTTTGAAGCTGAATTTTTCCTCTCCATTCCTGGTTTGTTTGTTTTTTTTTATAGAACGATTTTTATCATTTCACAAATATTACTTACTCGTGACAAGAAAGCATCGAGTAGGACATGTTTGTTTCATCATGTTGATTTCATGATTGAATGTCTGTTTCCAGTGGGTGATTCCCAAGTGCACTTGATGAGGAGGGATGTCTCTTCGAATCCTCTTGTTTTGTGTTTTAAAAGTAGCACTTGCTGGTTTGGGATTTACTTCTCTTCCAGTAGATAGCATATTTTGTGTAATTCTATGGCGATTTATTATCGAGGAATTATTGAAATCCTTTATGTGCCTATGATGTTATTGTCATTGCCGAAATTGATCAAGGAACATGCATGAATTCTCATATCCTTTTCTCTTTTGAGCCATATTCAATCAATGAACAGAGATCTCTCTAGAAGAATAAAATACAAATTCATCAGAGGAATATTTTCTTCTGTAGCTAGTTGATGGGTCAATTTAAGCAGTAATGGTTGGAGATTATGTTATGGAAACAAATTTTTGTTTTCTGAGAAGATGTTAGGCATCATGTTGTTTCAGCTTCTTGAACTTTGTGTGTTTTGAACATGGATACACTGAATGATAATCTCTGAATAACTGAAATTTGAAGAATTTGTGATCATCATAGATTTGAGTAGTTAGAAATTCATTAAAAGATGGACAAGTATCTTGTTCTGAAGCGATTGATGAATCAAAGTCATTAATGACTTTTTCATTATTATGAGATCTGAATCAGTTTGTTAGGGAAGCTATCTATGGAATAGCTCTTTTCATTTAAGTTTGATTGTCCTAGGTGACCTAAAACAGATTTAATCTTGTTATCAGGTTTACTGTTTTTATATTTTTCTTTCACAAGCAATTTTGGAATATTGTGAGAAAGTTTTCAGCTGAGTTATTACAGCCTAGCCTGTTCACTTTGAAGATTTTGATTTTAAATGTGATGTTTTACATGGTTTAAACCTACTTTTTGAAGTCATCCTAAATTTTAGTGCTCACTTTTGTTCTGTGATCTATAAGTTGCATTGTGATTTGATTTGATTTGGCCGGCTATGATCAAAAAACAAAGTTATTTAGTGCAACAGCAAAGTGAAGAGGTTAATAGTGGGAATGGCATCAATTGAAACCCAGGTCAGTGTGTAACAGGGGTCAAGGTGGAAAATGATGAACAGATGCAAATCTGAAAACTATTGAGTATTTATCCCAGATGAAATCAATTACAGGATTACTGTGTTTGATAAGAACCATAGAATTGAATGAAAGTAAAATTTTATTTTGAGCCTTGGAACTGAAAAGAATTTAAAAAACAGCATGGTTTATCAGATTGGAACTAATTATGGATGGTGTGGGGCTCTTGCCAGTACAAAGGGAAAGAGAAATCCTACTAACTGCCTGTTTGGGAGGGTAATCTGCTTGGCCTTCTCAAAGGTTTTCAAACCTTTAGATTAAATCGCACTTAGCTTAAAAATATTTTTTCAAGACAGACTTCTAACTGTCAGAAGTTGAGAAAACATGAAGCCTAAAGACCTCTAAGACCAAATTCAAAAGGGAAAGACCATAGTTGATAATTGTAGAAAATCAAATTCTTAGCCAATGAAATTTAATCGCATTTTGCTTTTTGAGTTAAGAAGCCAAGAACTTAAACACTCTTCAGTTCTTTTCCACTCTTACTTTCAATTCTTTCAAAATTACACAAACTGAAGCATTGAAAAATTTAAAATAAATCTTACACTACACTGACTGGCTATAGAGGGTTTCAGATTCTGAGGAAGGGGAAAAAAACTTTAAAGACACCAGTGTAGAGGTTTCTGACCAGATCAAAATTCTCCAAAATCCCCTCAACAGAATGAATTTATGATGGAGTAATATTGACAACTCATAAATCATGGGAAATGTAGTAGTTAAGCAGTGTACTGCTTATGGAATAATTTTGATTTTCCATCAGTTTCCACTGAAGTACAATGTGTGATCTGATGATTTTGAGTTACTTTACAAGGAAACAGCATCTTTCTCTCTTACTCTTTCCCACAACAATGATTATGTCTTCAGCAACCTGGATAATTTTATTATCTGAGAAAAGAGAGCTCAATACTGTGAACACAATCAAGTAACTGCTTAACTTAGAAACTTCTCCTTGCTTTACCTTGTGTGGTGGTGTGTTACAAAACAAACCACTTGTGTACAAATCACAGTCTTAGATATTTGGTACAGCAACAGATCTTTAGTTTATTTCTTTGAACCTTTTCATGATGAGCATACATGCAACTGACATGGCCATAGGCAGGAATGATTACTGTCCTGAAAATAAAAGTTATAAAATTCACACAGGGTTGGTAGATATTGCTTCTTTACCCCTTTTAAGTTATATTAAGGGTTCCTTTTTGTTAAACATGACCTGAAAGAATGGAACACAAAGATACCAAGCTGTAAGAGTATGAGATTTGTTTAAGAATGCTTGAGAAATGTCACCACTTTCATACAGGCTTGTTAATGCATTTTCAATTGAAATCATGCATGATCTTTTGTCAGCCTTTGTGTTTCTTCAGAGATAAGAGAGTAAGTCTCTCAGGAAAATAAGCTTGTTTCACGATCTTGCAAAGATCATCGCATACTAGTTGCCACCAGTGTGGTTGATATTCTCCATCCACACAAGAGTATAACGTTTTCTATGCAATGACCTTTCATGGCACAAACCAGCAGTAACTGCCTGTAATTATATGTTTATAACAATTTAAATATCACTACTCTTCCCTGGATGAGGTACAATTTTATTGTTGCTTACCCCTGAGCATAAATTACAGAATTTTCAACTGTTCCTCAGTCACACATTCACACTGTTAAGTACTGAGAGAGGCATGGTCAGGAGATAGTCTCATGTTACAGGATGACTGCTACAAGGGCTTAAATCTGTATCCTCTGACCTGGGGCTTAATTCCTGAAAGATAGGGAAACATAGGGGGCTGTCATTTTTCTTTTCTGAGTTTCTTTCATCAAAAAATGTATAGTTTGGCTACTTAACCAATGAAAATACTAGAATAATCAGGATGGACTGGTGTTTGAGCTAAGGCATGTATTATTATTTTTTTTACAGTAAGATAAAATAATATTACTCAATGCCTACAGAGTTGCCAAATGAATATTTTTGAGAAATGAGTCCCTGTAGTTGAAAAAGTTTTTTCTAGGGCTTGTTTACATGTAGCTCCCATGCTTAGGCAGTGTTGTAATCGGACATAAAAGTGATGGAGAATGGCCAGAACTTCTCAGTGTTCCTAAAAAAAAAAAGAGAGAGAGAGAGAGCTTGTAATCTCAGTTTTTTCTTCAGAGATGAATTTTTAATTGACATGTTGTCATTGAGAAATGTGCTAAAAATCATCATTACAACAATTATTTTTCTTGTCACCTGTTTCTTGTATAACTATCTTCTTGGAAAACATTTATCCAGTGCTTCATATCAGTTACAGAACCTTCTGCTATCAATAATTAACAAGGAAAGTCAATTATCTTATATACATGTATACTGCACCTAACAGCTCCTCTACCCAACGACAGAATCAGTTAATAAATTGAACATTACATTTGATATTTGAGGTAAGGTTCTACTTTGAGAACTGCAAGGAACTTAAACCCTCTAACCCCCTTAAGTGACCAAGGCAGAATTTCTCCTTACAAAACCAATATGATATCAAGCAGACAAGTGATGAGAATAAAGAAAAATATCTATCGGGGATTACTGGTTGATTCAATACCAAATTCTCTGAATTAACATTGTGAGAATTGTATGGAAGACAGTAGAGAGAATTACTAGTGAGATCTTGGGAATGGAAAGGTTAAGGAAAATCTTGACCATGAGAGACTGAATTCTGCATCAAGTCCTGTTTATTTAAAGAGTCTACAAACAACCCACAGCAGAAACTGCTTTCAACCAGATGCATGCTTTGTCCTCCCAATCCAAAACTTAAACTCCACTTTACCTCAGGCATGTCAGGTCGATTATGTCAAATCACGAGTATTTTGGTCTCTTCAACTTTGTTTAGTGTGAAGGTATGAGAAACTTGTGTTCAAGGCCATACAACAGATCTACAAAAATTAATTTGCAGCATACAAGTCTAACATTACAAGTTATGAGATACAGATGTATCTCAAATGGCAGGATAAATTAGTAGTAACGACTGAGTTGATAGCGTAAATTTTAAAGAGTTTGAAGAGTTTTTTCAGCTTTGAAACTCTGCAGTGTCCAATTTACAGCTCAGGGGATAATACTAAATTACCCTTTTCAGCACCACAGTTTCTTTAGAAACTTACCCCCTTTATTCATGTATCTTGAACAGTTTGGAGAGAACTGAAACATTTTCTCAAAGCCAATACAGGGCTAAAAACCCTTTGTGGTCATAGGGATATCCACCATGATATCTGACAACCCTCTTACTCCTAAGATCAAAAGATAAATTCACTGCACTTTGTTCCATTCATTTTTCTTGTGACCCCTTTATGGAAAAATTTATCACTATCGTAGGGAGAAATTTCCTTTGGTCACTCCTGTAGGTGAATGGGCTAACCCTTTAACTCCCAGATCAAATTTGTAATTCTCCTTACTGTCAACCATACAATTCTTCTATTGTTAGTCAGAGAATTAGTATTGGATCAACCAATTATCCCCAAATTGATCTTTTTCTTTATTCTCATCATTTATCTGGTTGATATTGTATAGATATTGTAAGGAGAAATTCTGTCTTGGTTACTCATGAGGGTTAAAGGGTGAAGAGATCTCTTATTTAATAATAAACCCCTTTCTAGAGCTTCAAGTTCCCATCAAGCCTCCTCTCCCTCCCTTGAAACAAAATATTGCATCCATGATTGTCGTCTACCTAATCTTTATCAGACAAGACAGTGAATCTAACTCAGAAGGTTCTGACAGCAGCCAGTCGGAATCAGATTCTGACGATGAGGGAAATGAACAGAATGTTGCACCAAGACGGCCACCACCTCCATTGTCACATTATCAGATGTCTTCACCTGGTGATTTACATCACACTGTAAACAATAATCCAACCACACCAACACAGAAGAAGAAGTTTGATGAAAGGGTATGTATCTACATGGCCTTATAACTCCATAGTATTTTTTGACACTTGCAGTTGACCTTTTAACTTTCAAAAATCCCTGAAACATTCATACATTGTCCCAGACACAGGTAATCAGAATACTCAAACTTATCAGGTTAAGAGGTTACCTCGATCTAATGCCAAATTCTCATAATTAATTTATAAGGAAATTTGTTGCAGTTAGAGGGAAGAATTAACAATCAGGTCTTAAGTTTAACGGCTAACAATGATTGAAAGATTTGTGTTAGTGACAGGGTACTTCTCTCAAAGCTGCATATGTATAATTGCAGTAAAACCTTCAATTTTGTTGAGGCCAGGATATTGCAACTCAATTACCACAACTTTTTCCACTCATACCCTATTATGCATATCCTCCATAATTTTCCCTGTATATTTACTGTGGAACAGACAAGGATAATTTGTCTTGCAATCAAGCTTCTTCAGTTGGTTATCATTTGTTAATTCTCCAGACCTTAATGTTTGATTAAGCAGTGATACTGTAAGAAGATATTGGAGGCTGGTCACTCTTAGGGGTTAGGTGAGAGCAGCTGGATACAAAAAAAGTAAAATTACAATTTTACGGTGTATTTGTCAGAGATTTAGTTAGCCCTTTTACTTGTATAAGTGGCTAACATCTAATTTCCCCTTACGAAATCACACTTGAATCAAACATTACAATCTTGAGAATAAAGGAAATGATCATGAACTAAAGAAGATCTTAATTGTGAGACAAACTCTCCTTGTCTGCACCTTAGGAAATGTGTAGAGAGCAGTATGGAGAAGATGCATACTGATATGTTAAGTGTTAAGAAGCATTATATTCCACTGTCTGAAGGCAATTAGAGATCAGTAAGATCTTTGTTTTAATATACTAATATTTTTCTGTATTGACATTTCAGTGATATTATCAATAAGTACAGTTTCTAATTTAAGTTTAAAGTATTGGTATTCTGATGATTAAATTAGTTTTGGGAAGAGGATCCAGAAACATATGGAGTCAGAAGATCTGGAAGATCAAGAAAGGAACCAGAAAGATTTACTGTAGCTCAAGAGGTACTGTGGCCATTATCAAGACTTAACATCATACATGTTAATGTATCTATACTCTCTCTGATATTCTTCCGGAATGTCCCTTATGAAATAAGTCTCATTATGCTTACCTTTTTAGAAAAATAGCATGTATATTGGTATGGTGTGTGACACCTTTGAGGTTTTGATTCAGATCTGAGGCCAATGCAAGAGAAAATCCCCCAGTTTTTAAATTTACAGAGTAAATCTACTTACTCGTATGCCTTGAAAAACCCTCAGCCTTAGAAGGGAGAACACAGGAGAGGAAGTTGTGCCAGAATTCTTGGCATGTCTGTAGACATTTTTTTAACATCTTTAGAAATCTTTGGGCTTGATTTTTGGGATTTATCAGGTCCTCTTGGAAAAACTTACACTTTTGACTCCCCAAACATTTAGTTAGTGATAGGTGTGATACAAAGGTGATATGTTCACTAAGCATCCATCTTTTATCCCAGATTGCCTTTTTAACTGTAGTTTGCTTGTTCTTTTTGAAAGTTGTTTAAAATCAGTAAATCTAATGAGATTAAGTTTTCGTAATTTTATTTTTTATCTCCAGGGATCAGGAAGTGAGGATGAAGAGAAGAATGAGGGAGTACTCAGAACAAAGAAATTAAAACCAAAGGGAAGGAAAGGAAGAAGAATTTCATCAGCAAGGTTGGAGGAAACTTGTTAATTTAGTTACACCACCCACATTTCAGACAAGAGTCTAAAAACTCAAAACTAAATGAAATCAGAAATACACATATAGTTAAGGGTAACTCAGAGCAGAGGTGAATATCATTAGCAACCAAGAAAAGTCAGTGGTGAACAAGCTTAAACTTTGGATAGTGTGTTTGATCAAGTGGGAATTAGTTACAGGATGGTGGTTGGTTTTCTTTCCAAGTCCTAGGACCTGAATTATCCAGGCATCCATTGCAGACAAAGTAAACTAAAAGTAAATAAAGGAGTATTGTTCAACTTTTTATTGACATTTAAAAGACATTTAACCTTGTGACTCCCAGGAGTGACAAGCATCTCTATTCTCCTTACAATATTCACACATTAAGGTCACAAAATTCTCCTTATCAGCACCTCAGGAAATGTAAAGAGAACAGTATGGAGAATATGCATACTGATGTTAGAGTATAAAGGGTTTATAACCTCATCAGCTACATATATGTGAAGTTTCGCTGCTCCCCCCTTCCTTTTTTTCACCCTCCTTGTATGTTTGATCTGTACCTGTTCTAAACTGCCAGATTACCTCTTTCTTTTAGTGAAGACTGGTCAGTGGTTGATGGTCAGGGAAGTGACAGTGAAAGCAGTGACAACTACACTCCTGATCTTGAGGTTAGAAACAGACCTAGACCTGTGCCACGTCCAAATGCAAGGGTACCACCAATAGTGCCCAAACCAAAAGATCTTGCACCTCGAAAGAAAGTTAGTGTACATGTACCCTCACCACAAAAACCACCCAGTAGAGTGAAGAAACTTGAGAGTGAAGAATCAGATGAAGGTGATGAAAATGATGATGACGATGATGATGATGAGAGTAATAGAAACTCTGTAAGAAGGGCTGCAGTAACAATTTCAAGGTAAGTGCCAGCAATACTTAATTTTGAGCAGTGCACCATAGCCTCTCTACAGAAAAAAATTCCTATAAGTTTATTAAGTTTATAGTATTTAAAATGTGATGTCCGTTATATATTTGTTAATGAATTAGGAAATAACAGGCAGGAATTAATACACAAATTTGTACAACTTTTCTCAAAGTTCATAATGCTGTACTATACGTTCCGTAATTTACAGGTATGTTTGGTATTATGTAGCAGTTCCATGCTTTTTGTATAATTTTTTTGTTTTCAATTGTAACAGCTATAAAGAAGAGAGTGAAGATGGAACTGACTCTGATGATCTGGTTGAGGCAAATTATGACACCACAGGAGAGTATGTTGAAGATGACAGAGAATGCATTGAGAGAGTCCTCATCAGCCGTGTTGGCCGACCAGGGGAGATTGGAGCCATGACTACAGTCTATGCACCAGAGTATGAAGAAATGCAGAAGCATGGGGAACCTTTCCATGGAGAACCCAACGAGATCCAATACCTGATAAAGTGGAAAGGTTGGTCACATCTGCATAACACATGGGAAACTGAGAAGAGCCTTACTGATCAGAATGTGAAAGGAATGAAAAAATTAAGCAACTTCATTAAAAAAGATGAAGAAATTGCAACCTGGTAAGAATTCTGCTGTTTATAGGGAGCTTTAAGAACTCATGATGGCTATGCTGTATTTTCTTGTGGTAGATCTATTTTGGAAGATTGATCATAACAGAGCTATACTTAGCTGAGCACAATCACACTCAGAGGTAACACTTTCATATTGATTTAATTCCTTTTTTTAGGAAAAAGTTTGCTGCTCCAGAGGATGTAGAATATTTTGATATTCAGTTGCAAATGAACTATGACCTCCTGGATGAATACAAGGAAGTTGAAAGGATCATAGGTACATGAATTTCATCAATTAACACTTTGTGTCGAGGAAAAAGCCAATTAGGTGTCTGAAAACTAAACAGCTTTGGGTTTCCATGTTGCCTTGTGTGGTTTGAACTTACATGTGATTGGTCAGTACACAATTGACCTGTTAAAGTCAGATTTAAGTTATAGCTTTTGAGCCTTACAGTAATTTTTCAGAATGTAAAAGTTTGTACAGTAAAAAGAGACTCGATCTATTCATTGAGTTTAAATTCATAAGAGTAGAAAGTTTGAGATGGAACTCCAAATAAAAAATTTCTCCATTTTTTATAGACCAGATTAGTGCAAGAATATATACAATACTTGTAGAATACTAAATGGTTAGTAATTGTATAAATTGATTATGGTTTACCATGCAAAATTCACCTTATTTTTGCAGCTCATACTGTGGTAAAAAGTGATGTGAATGGTGGCACTGTCAATCAAGTGGACTATCTTTGTAAGTGGCAGGGTTTGCCCTATGTTGAGAGCACTTGGGAAGATGGTGCTCTTGTTTCCAGATTTTATCAACTGAAAGTCGATTCTTACCTCAACCGACAACGCTCTGAGAAAATCCCTGGAAAGAGTGCAAAAGTAAATCGGCAGAGACCAAAGTTTACTCCCATCAAAAGACAGCCATCCTTTCTTGGAAACAAAGATCTCCAACTCAGAGATTATCAACTTGATGGACTGAATTGGCTGGTTAACTCTTGGTGTAGAAGCCACTCAGTGATTCTGGCAGATGAAATGGGACTTGGTAAAACAATCCAAGTCATTTCCTTTCTCTCCTACTTGTATAATGCTCAATCTCTCTATGGACCTTTCTTGTTGGTTGTTCCACTGTCGACCATGGCTGCTTGGCAGAGAGAGTTTAGCTTATGGGCCAGAGACATAAATGTGGTAGTTTATCTGGGAGATGTAACAAGTAGAAATAAGGTGAGTTTTTTTTTGTTATTATTGTGTTGGTTATGGCTGTCTTTGTCCTAGCCCCCAGAGTCAAGGCAGTTATCCCAGTTTACCACTGAACCCTGTCCTGCACTTTGGTCAGACAAGGTATCATACATTGTACCTGCAGTAGTGGACTTTCCATATATGCATGGGTGAGAATCCTTGTCAAAAATCTTGAAGTGCCATGAAGAGTTCACAAAGGGATCAAAGGGATCACTGTGTGATGTGGTTGTTTGCTGGTTACTTACAGTTTAATGAGAATTTTCTGACTTTTTGTCTTTACAGATCCGTGAATATGAATGGTATCGTGCCAACAGCAAGTCCCTCAAATTCAATGCACTTCTGACAACCTATGAAATCTTATTGAAAGACAGGGTGTGTAAAGAAAGTAGTTCTAAATTTCATCACAGAACTATATGAGTCCAGGATAAATCAAAGTATAAATTTGTTATTGATAATTATTTGTTTGTTTGTTTGTTTTGTTTCAATTTGTGCTCTGAAGTCAATAAAGCAGTCAAAGCTAACCCTGATAATTCTTATTCAGCAAACATTAGGAACTATCAACTGGTGTTGCTTGGTGGTGGACGAGGCTCACAGACTAAAGAATGATGATGCTCTTCTGTATAAAGCTCTCATGGAATTTACCACCAACCACAGAATTCTGATAACAGGCACCCCACTGCAGAACTCTCTGAAAGAACTGTGGGCTTTGCTACAATTTATCATGCCTAATAGGTAATTCTTGATGGGTCTTTTTTTCTGAACTGTAATTTTTGTGACTCTAGGAATGAGATCCTATGAAAATTTAAAACATGGATTTTTTTATTTTATTTGGGACCTTGTTGTTACCGCCACTCTTTGGTTAAGTTTACTAAAGCTCTCAGGAAGAGTGTGTGCTATAATTGGTCAATTTAGGGGGGCACATTTCACAGTACAGCCCATGAACTCATGAGTTTGTTTTAATTGAAATCTCCCTCTAAAGAAATGATTAACATCTTGCTAACCTCATTTTCTTGGTCTGTACTGTAAATTACGAAGCCTCAAACAATACTTGGTTTGCAACTTACAGTACTGACCTCAAACTTGTTTATTAAGATATTTATTTCCAGTCTCTCATACAGTGAAAGTTGAAAATCTTAAAGCCTCACTTAAAATCAAGAGTTAATTTTCTTTACTGTTGATAAATATTATGATGCAAGTGCAAACAAAGCTGTTCAGTTGGATGGGTTTAGTAATAATAAATTGTGACAGTTATATCTCTTGTTTTTATGCAGGTTTTATTCATGGGATGACTTTGAGCAGATGCATGCTACTCAAGAAGAGAAAGAAATAGGATTTTCTACTTTACACAAAGAATTAGAGCCTTTCCTTTTAAGAAGGGTCAAGAAAGATGTTGAGAAGTCTTTACCAGCTAAGGTAGAGATTGATTTCATTATAAAATGTAACTTTATGAATTAGTTTTTTCATGCTTTATTACTAATAGTCAGCATGCTGTGGACTCTGCATGGAGAGGTCCTGTTGGAGGCCTGGCTGGGTCAATATGTTGTGCTCTTGGGAAAAACGCTTTCCTCCCACATTGCCTCTTTCCACCCAGGAGTATAAATTGGTACTGGAAAATTTTCAAGGAGGCCTGTTGAAATGCTAGGGGGGGAAATTGGCATCCCATCCAGAGGGGAGTAGTGATACTCCTAGTCACCTCATGCTAAGGAAACTGGGATAAGCTCAGGCTGGATGGGCTAAGTGACTCGTGCAGAATTGACCCTTTTTTAATGCGACAATAGTGAGCATTGAATTTTTACTCTGATGAACATAGCAGAAGAGTCACAAAGAGTGGAGAGCTGGACTTCCTGATTTATTTTGTTTTGTTATTAAAGAAAAAATGTCAAACAGATTCAAAGTAATAGATACATGTATGTATATTGGTGTTCAGTCTTATGCAGTAACTAGGGTGATGGTCACAGATGATAGTGATGATTTTTCTGTGCAAAATTTTTACAAGGACAACAAATCTTACATTTTTCTTCCTTGTCACAAATATAGGTGGAACAAATATTAAGAGTTGAAATGTCATCAATTCAGAAGCAGTATTATAGGTGAGAAAGAAACATCTCTATTTAGGCATACCAAGGAAAAACAAATCATATTCTTGTCATGGAATTTAATCCAAATAATGTTTCTTACATGTACCCATACAAGTTTGGTTGTTTCTTTCTTCATGATACAAGGACACCAGGCTTAACAAACTGGCAGCAATATGCATATTCTCTGTACTGTTATCTGTACATTGGTTGAAGTGCTGACAAGGAGAATTTGTTCAACAATCAAGAGCTTCTTTAGTTAATGTTCAGTTCAGTTATCCCTATGACCTTAATGTGTGATTTAGGGGTGGTAATGTGGAGTCAAATTAGATGCTAGGCACCATAAGGATTCAAAGTTTTATGTAGGTTCTTATTTTTTGTTCTGTTTTGATAGGTGGATCCTAACAAAAAACTTTGCAGCATTGAATAAAGGTTTGAAGGGAAATGCAAACAGTTTTCTAAACATTGTGATGGAGCTGAAAAAATGCTGCAACCACGCTCAGCTAATCAGACCAGATACTAGTCAAACAACCACTGATTCTTTGCAGGTACAGTAATTTGAATCTCAATAATTCTTAACAATACATAGAGTACTACTACCTCTTGAAGTAACAATAACGATAATTAATATTAGTGAGATTTACCTGTGGCACATCCACAAGGTGCCTCAGAGCAAGAAGGAGAATCAGCAACAAACTTAACCAACATTTTCTGTCAGGTCAAGGAAAAGAATTGACCCAGGCCACAGCAGTGGGAGGCAAGCATTCTCACCTATGCTTCATTCCTGTTTACCTCCCTCTTCACTTGTGCTAAGTTATAGTTATGGACATTGTAAGTTTACTTGAAAGATGTTTACCATCACTATTAAGTAGTAATGTGGCCCTTAGAACTTCACACAGATCAAAAATAACTGTTAATATTTTGTGTCATATTTTTCAGAACCTGATTAGAGGAAGTGGCAAACTGTTTTTACTGGACAAGCTGTTGTGCAGATTAAAGGAGACAGGCCACAGAGTTCTGATCTTCTCACAGATGGTGCGAATGCTGGACATTCTAGCTGAGTATCTGCAGCAACGACGTTTTCTATTCCAAGTATGTGAAAACAATTTTTTCCTAAAAAATCATTTGTACCCCTCAACTAAGAGATAATTTTTGCATCAGGTTCTTCAATAAACAATAAGATTGTTGTGAGATTTCTATTTCAGCCCAAATCAGCTGTTGTGCACAGAGATCAAGAATGAGAAATCCTATTGTCTTATTTTGAATTTACTCCTTGTTCAAAACTTAACAACAAGACATTCTCTTGTTATTGTTTTACTTTGTTAACCCTTTAAGTCCCACTAGTGACCTACACAGAATTTCTGCTTGCATTATCAGTACAAGTAATGAGAATAAAGAAAAATATCAATTAGGGGATTATTGATTGATCCAATTCCAAATTCTCCAAACTAACATCACATAAATTGTATGGCAAATGGTAAGGAGAATTACTCATGAAATCATGGGAGTTAAAGGGTTAACAACTGCAACTCTTAGTTGTCTCACTTAATGCACTGTCTATCATGGAATAGAGAGCAAGTAGCCAATCAGATTGCAGTGTTATTGATAGAATTCCCATAGATTTCTGCTTGAAATAATTACTGGTAATGATTATTAAAATATATAATTTGTGATTCTAGAGACTGGATGGCTCAATAAGAGGTGATTTAAGAAAACAGGCTTTGGATCACTTTAATGCTGAAGGATCTGAGGTATGTTTCTCTCTTTTTACTCGGTGCAAAACTTCACTCATTCCACCAATCAAGAACAAGAGTTTAAAAAAAAAATTTCTGTGTAAGTATTAAGTCTGATAGCAGTTACAAGCCATAGGTGATGGACACTTTCTTCAATTCCTAGAATCATAAGAGCATGGTTAGCAAAATCCACAAAATAAAATTATTATTACGAGAAAGTACTTTGTAAGTACTAATATATTTTTGTTTTTAAAAATATACTGAAGTGTCATGCCACACTGTAGATCTTGCCCAATATTGTGACATAAATTATTACTGTCATAACATGATCTTGGTTTTGTCATTTTCCTCAAGGATTTCTGTTTCCTGCTGTCCACTCGTGCTGGTGGCCTGGGCATTAATCTTGCCACTGCTGACACAGTCATCATTTTTGACTCGGACTGGAATCCCCAGAATGACTTGCAAGCCCAGGCTCGTGCACACAGGATAGGACAGAGAAATCAGGTTGGTTGGTAGATTTCAACATATGAAAACTGCTTAAAGGAGAAGTGTATTTCAGAAACCATCTAATCGTCAACTCCTTCATTAATACTCAACCTCAACAAGTGACTGGCCTCTAAATTCTTGCTACCAAATCACATATTCAGGTAAAAAGGAAATTATCATGAACAAAAGGAGCTCATGATTGTTCAATAAATTCTCCTTGTCAGCACTTTAGACAATCTGTGGAGAACAGTATGGAGAAATTACACACTGATGTTAGGTTTGAAAGGGTTTAAAAATTATGTCTGAAATTATGGTAATGCCTCAAGTTTTAGTTTCCAAATAGAAACCTTTTCTATTGAAAATTTTGCTTTCAAATGTACGTAAGAATTTTAACTTTGGATAGCTGTAAACAGCAGTAATTTGAGGGTGTTTTGATTCAGGATTGGTGTTGTTGCATTCTATTTATCCCAAACTTGTGTTACTGCACTTTGTTTCTGTTTGTATATGAAGTATTAAACATGTTTATTCTTCTGGAACCTTTTTACTGACATGTTTTTCTAAAATTGCTAGTGGACTTACAGTGTACAGTTAATGCTCTAGTAAAAATCTACTCCAATCACTCCTTCTCTTTACTAGGTCAACATCTATCGTCTTGTGTCTAAAGGCAGTATTGAGGAAGACATATTGGAGCGTGCAAAGCGCAAGATGGTTCTTGATCATCTTATCATTCAAAGAATGGACACCACTGGGAGAAAGGTGTTATCCAAGAATACTGGGGCTCCATCTTCGTAAGTTCGATACAATGTAGCTTATTTTAAGACCCAGCTACATTTTGCATTCAACATAAAGAGTAGATAGTAGTAAGTGGGCGCAAGAACTCCTTTTGTCCTTTATATGCTCTTTGCAGATGACATAAACTGTAATAATTGTGATAATAATGATAATGTTAATGGCAGTACTAATAATCATGTCTTAAGATTTAATCAGATATCAAAGAACCTTGTTGCAAACCCATCCGAGCTCAACACATAATAAATTGCATTTTAAACAGCCTTTTTACTTTCCTTTTTTCACACACATTATTTTTTTCTTCAGGAGTAATCCATTTAACAAGGAAGAACTTGCTGCAATCTTGAAGTTTGGTGCTGAGGAACTCTTTAAAGAAGGAGACGGAGAAGATACCCAACTACAGGTTCATTATATTTTTCATTGCTAGAAATTTGTCGTTTAGCAATCAAAGTCTTCATAAAAACCCAAGGTTGAAAGTGATTGAGCACGCTGTGAGGATTCTAGTTTTGATCATCAGCCAAAATTATCTTGTCTTATCTGTAGAGTGACAAGAGCGTGTGATAATGATCGGAATTTGTATCGATTGACCAATTGGCAGTGGGCTGTATGGTAATCTAATGTGTAATGAATTTTCCACTTGTAGGAAATGGATATTGATGACATTCTTAGAGCAGCTGAAACTCGGGATTCTGATGATCACCCTCATACTATAGGAGAAGAATTACTCTCTCAGTTCAAGGTATGGTTCATGAATATGGCTATTTTTGTAGAGGCTGTCCTTAAAGCTAATGGGGTTTCTCTCAGGTAGAGCTGTATTGACAACATCTCTTAGCAGGCAAAGTTTCTTGAGAGTTTCCAGGGTTTTGCTGGCTTCTTCAATCAACAACTCAACATGCTGGCGTAAGGATTAGTTAGGTTGATTGTTCACTGCCAAAAGCTTTCTTCTGTTGTCATGGATTAAGTAGCCTTGGGAGAGAATGGATTGGGTCAAGACACGGTGTGAGTTTCTTGTACAGATGTAGTTCGACCCAATCCCTTCTCCTTCATACCTCAATTATATGTTTGGTTTCCTTCAGCGCTTGTAGAATGGAAATGGAGGCAAAAAAAGCAACTTGCCTAGATAAGCTGTTAAACGTGATTACCAACATTTTCTTTTGACAAACCTGAAAAACCGAGGAAAAAAAAAAGAAAGAAAGAAAGAAAAAAGTAACATCAACGTAAAGGATCAATGGCAAAGAATTGTTTCCATAAGGCGTTGTTACGGTAATGCCTGCAGGTTGCTAGTATTGCTATGGATGAAGATGAAGTTGCCGGAGTAGCTCAAGAGCCCAATTCAACAGATGAAGGCAAAAGCTGGTCAGACATCATCCCTGAATCAGACAGGAAAAAGATCGAGGAGGAAGAAGAGCAGAAGAAACAGTTGGAGTTGTATTTGCCGCCTCGTAACCGAAAAACTGTAAAAAAGGTACTGCCTTTTTTCCCCTTCGTATATCGCTTCTCAGATGAAAGTTTTTAAGCTACAACCAAGGTGACTAATTACGAATCAGAATATGCTTAAATGAAAATATCGCATGCAGTAATACGAACTCACAGCCTAGATAAGGGAATTGCCTCAAGAGAAGGAAAATGCACGTGACTACGGCATGATTGGTTTCAGTATTGCACGTGACTAGGGCGTGATTGGTTTTAGTTTTGCATTTAATTAGCTGAGAGAGTGGTGTTTCTTTTCTGAACCTCTTACCTAGCGAAGCAAAGGAAAACCAATGCAATATTGAATTTATTTCGACATTCGATGTAAAATCTATTGAATACGAAATCACGTTGTTCATTCAACAGATGAATTATGGCAAAGCCGGGCACAGTGACAATGAGCAAGAAACAAGCTACAGAAGGAAAACGAGTCGGAAGAAAAAATCAGAATCAGAGAGTGATGATGATTCTGGTGCAGAAGGCAAAGGGATTAAGAGGAAGCGTGGACGGCCACGCACAATCAAAAGAGAAGATGTTGAAGGCTTTAGTGATGCTGAAATACGAAGGTTGGAAACGTGACATTCATCTGTTAGTTTTTACTGAATAAAGTTCTCATAACAAACATCTTTCATATCAACAAATATAGCTGGGGAAGGTTTAGGATGGACTACCTTTCTTTACAAGTGTAAGATAAATCATTACTTTCCCGTATACCTCGCTAACCTATGCTCACTTTTTTTTTTTACATCAGATTTGTTAAAAGTTATAAGAAGTTTGGCAGACCAAGATCCAGGTATTCTGATGGGTTTTTTTTTAACTTTAAGTCTTCAAGCACTGGTACTGTGTTTCTTTACGAAATGTAACAACTTCATGAATTCCGGATCTGTTATAGGTGGGCATGTGAGTTTTTATGTGTTTATGGATTAAATAAAGAATTTTCCTGGGGTGAAAAGTTGTTGATCAAGACTTGACAAACTAGAGACTGAGATTTTCCAACAAAGGGGGTAAGTTTCGAAAGAAACTGGGGTGCTGCGTCGATGGGAGAGTATAGCAGGGTCATTTGATATTATCAACCGAGTTTGTAACGTAAATTGGCCGCCTAAAGAGTTTCAAAGCTCTGACGAAGGGCTAACGCTCGAAACGTTAGCTTTGAAACTCTTTAACGGTGGCCTATTTCATTACGTTATCAACTCAGTTGATAATAACAAATTACTTTGAGATTCTCCAATGCTATGAGCCAAACCGCTTTACTGTATGATATTGGAATGACACATTTTTCAAAATCTCTCTCGGTGACAGACTTGACGCAATTGCAGTTGATGCTGAACTGGAAGATAAACCAACTGAAGACCTTGTTAGACTGGCAGATATTTTACATAATGGTTGTTTGCGAGCTGTGGCAGAATATGAAGAAAAACTGAAGGAAGATCCAAACTTTGATGGTAAGTTGTTGTGCATAGCCTTTGATTGTATTCTACTCTTGATGCAACCCTTAAAAACGAATCCTCATCATTGTATACTTGAAGTTAAACAATAAATGGGTTATAAGGTCTTAACCGCACAGATAACATATAAATGCTAAATCAAGTACAAGATGATGGCAAGGACTTATTGTTATGAACTGCCGTTGTCGAACTGGCATCTTTAGTTTCTGTATAAGCGTCAAGAAGAAAAGAATTGCCTTAATTTGTCAATATTTTATCATGGTGTTCAGAGAAGTAGAGGTTACTGTTTTTACCTGTGAAACTAGATTCTTTGAAAAAAATTTATGGGTTAGTTTGGCTCAGTTACGAATCCAATATCCCTGATTAAAAAGCGTTTTAATTGAATCTCGTGAGAACGGGGTCTGTAATTTTTTGTGGACTTTCGTAACAGGTAAAAAGCGTGGAGCCACTGTACGACTCAGTAACGTGACCATAAATGCACCATCGGTGTTGAAACACGAAGAAGAACTTGAATCACTTGCCGTCATCATGCCAGCAGACAGTGACGCTAGACGAAAGTGAGTAAACGACTATAGTTAAATTTTATTTTAGGGACAGGTTGAACAGTTCAAGGCTTGCATAGCAAGACTTTTTTTCTTGATTTTCCTCCTTCATGGCCCTGTGTCTTTTGTTTTATTCTGCATTTTTTACCTTTTTAGGTTCCGTCTGACTGCACCTGCCAAAAGTGTACACTGGGGAGTCCCATGGGATGTTCCTGATGACTCCATGTTACTGGTCGGAATCTATGAATATGGATTAGGAAGCTGGGAGGCCATCAAGGCTGATCAGAGTCTGTCGCTGTCGTCTAAGGTGAAAGAGCTGCTCTCTTGTTAACGTTTCAGTTTGAATCGTTTTGAAGTAGAAGCTCGTTAATGCTGAATGTTTCTCCAGTTTCTATGGCATGGAGAGACCGAGATGACTGCATACCCCTCCCCCTTCCCCACCAGGGGAGGGAGGTTCATTTCAGTTATAATACCCTCCCTCTCTCCCCCTCCCAGAAATTCATCAAGTTTCTTTGACAGTTCGCTGGGCAGAATGAAAAAGTGGAAGGCTGAAGTGTCTTGCATAACAACATGACAAAATCACACGGCCAGCGCCCATTTTCTCTCATTTTACCGAAAACGGAGATCATTAACCTGACTCTTATGACATAAATCGGTTTTTTTTTTCCTCTTCTAGATCCTTCCTCCCGGGACATTGAAGCCCCAAGATAAGCATTTGCAAACGAGGGTGGAATATCTAATAAAACTTTTAAAGCAAGCTGCTATCGAAGACAAAGCAGAACAACTCCGAAAGGTTAGTGGTGTGATAGCGGTTAGTTTTACCCTTGAACCTGAAAAGCCTTGTTGGTCTTTTTCGCGAAATGGTTTTTAAACGCAACTAGCCTAATTGCATGCTTCTTGAAAGTCATGAGGGGAACGTGAAAGAGGAAATCGATTGCGGCACTCGAAAAATATCGAATTTTCATTTTCGAGGCCCCACCGTCCTACAGTAATTGTTTTTATTGAGCACCTGCAAAACCGCTGCTTTTCAGCTAATCCACGTAAAACGCTCGGCTGTGTAATTTAAAGTTAAATGCTAGGGTAGTCCGTCCCGAAAAAGGGGCTTTAGTTGTTGACAGTAACTGCATGATGTTTCGACAACCTGTGCGGAAGTCATCGACAGGTTGAAGTCATCATTAAAGTGGTCACTTGATTCTGATCATGACTTCTGCTTTGGTTGTGCCAGCCTCGGTCAATGTTGCCGACATGACTTCTGCTTTGGTTGTGCCAGCCTCGGTCAATGTTGCCGACATGCCTTCCTTTTCGGATTCCCTTTACCAAGTCGCCTAGCCTCAATAATTAAATTTCGAAGTCACATTTCCTTTTTCTTTCCTGCAGTCATCGCAAATGCTCAAATCTAAAATCCGTCAGCTGAAGCAGAAGGACACTAAGAAAGGGAAGCAGCAATCAGACGACTCATTGACCAACAGCGCTGCACCGTCACCGATGGCTGTGTTGTCCCCCCCTGAAGGAGCAGAAGATAAAGAAGATGGAGTCGCTCCTGAAATAAGTCAGGAGGGTCAGAATGCAAAAGAAGGAAAGAAAAAGAGGAAGGCTCCCAAGAAGAAGGAGGGCATCAAAGATGAAGGAGATAAGGTTTATTTATATGCATTTGTTGTTTTTGTTGCTCCTGCTCACGGTATTTTTTGCTAAATGTAAAAGTACCTACAAAGTACTTCGATTTTTGGTATAGCTGAGAAAATTTGCAGAATGATTTTAAGTAACTGGTCAAATATTCTAAAAAAACACGTCTCACAAACCGAGACGAGGGCGCTGATTCACTTGCTCATGTGTAGCTGAACTGATGTTAATAATTACCTTCGCCAACACATTTTATTAGCACGATATGGTGACATTCAATTTCTTCCCAAACTCTCCGCCCAGCCCCTGCTCGACCAAGAGATGTTTCACTGACATAAATCAAGAAAAAGACCCAATTGCTTTACTCAAACATTTGTGCAAATCTTGTCCATGATTTCTTTGTAGCCAAAGAGACAAAAGAAAGACAAGAAGGAAGTCATTAAAGAAAAGAAACCGGAGATCAAAGATTCTGTTTTTCAAGAAGAGCCTCCTACTCCTGAGAAGGATACTGAAGATAAAGAAAGCAAGGACGATGGAAAACCAAAGAGTTCCTATGCATTAGATGACATGGAAAAGGCCACTTTTGAAGCGGTGAGTGTAAGCAACATATTCCCTACTTTGGTAAATTGGCTGTTCGGATCTGGAAATGTTTGGTGGTTCACATTCTCATGCATGCCTCCAAAGAAGCTGTTGCCGAACTTGTAGCATAACATTTTTCGGGTTTTAATTTAGAGAAATTTTTTGGATTGTCCAAGTCCTGTAGATGTACATTTTCGAAATAAATGACGCCGCAAAGAAAAAATTAACTAGTGTTAGTCTTATGAACAATTCAAGTGTATGAAACAGCTGTGATTTCCCTATACGAAAAAGACAAGAAAAATGATGGACTTGTAACTTTGTTTCATCGATAATCTTTTTCTTGTTGTTGTTGCAGTGCAAAGAGAAAATGCGGCCAGTGAAAAGAGCCCTAAAAATGCTGGAGAGTCCAGAAGGGACCATGACTGAGAAGGATCAAGTCTCTCAGACAAGACAGGTAGATTTTTATTTTTCATTTCTCGTGCCGTTGACGCAGCTATGTCTCACTCGATCGAACTGAAGACATCGCCGGTTGAGTTACTTCCGGTTCGAATTTTTTGCCCGGGTTTAAGCGGTGGAAGTGGAAATGAACTCGAGTCCAGGATGCTCCGAGCACTATTGCTCCATTTTGACCCATTTCTATCAATCTACATGTCTATCGATTTTTGAAAAAAATTGTGCGGTTATTTTGAGTCAGAAAACAAAATTTTTCCTTAGTAAACTGCGCTATATTCTTATCTGTAGTTGCCACTAGCAATTCAATTCCAAAGAATAACCTTTACATTTCAGTGCTTGTTGAAAATTGGGGATCACATCACTGAAATCACATCTCATTATAAAGAAGGTGATGTTGTCACGGAATGGAGAAAGTAAGTGAACGGTTAACTTAACGTGAAGCCTGTAACGTGGCTGATATATCGTTGCTTATGGTGTAATTTCGTAAATTTGTTTCTGTATTTGTCACATTTGGTTGTGAACTTAATTCTCTTTTGTTTCCTTCAGCAATCTTTGGACGTTTGTGTCGAAGTTCACGTCGTTTGAAGCGAAGAAGCTTTTCAAGCTTTACAAACACGCTGCTAAAAAGAGAGATGAGTCGAAAGCACAAGAGGTACGTAGAGGGTTCTTAAAATTTTGGTATGGCTTTGCTGCCGCTATCAATAAAAACGAGATCAAATCGGGGTGTTAAGAAGTTCGGAAAAAGCAACTCAATACTTTTAAGACCCGTCTTATGATCCAGTTCTTTTCCTTGCAGCGCACTCAAAACAGACCCGCCCCTCAGTCACAGAGAACCCCTCAAGACTATTCAGGAATGTCCCGAAAGCACCTTGGTGACCATGCTCCCCAACGCTCATCCAACGATCTCAAACGTCAAATGGAAGGAGGGAGCTCTTCTCATTTGGGGCCCGGAGGAAAAGTGCCCCGGATGGACCGCACTAACTCAGGGTCAAGTTCTCATAGTGGGGGGAGGCATTCTGGGGGTGGAGATGGCTACGACCCTCGACGGTCTTCGTTCAGTCATTCCGACAGAGTCAGCGGGTCGACCAAGGACAGGCCACGTGACGGGTAAGATCTTATGTCGCTTTTTATTGGAGTGCAAGATTTAGAAAATAAATTTGGCCACAACCCCAATTTTTAACCCCTACGACTGAAATGCTTGCACAAACTTGATAAACTACTAGAAATATCCTAGTGTCAACAATGACATATCCGTTTTTTTCCCACGCCATCGCAGACATGACCACAGTCACAGGTATCACGAACCCCAGAGAGATAGGCCTTCCTATCATACTTCTGATTATTCCCGAACCCATGACAGGCCGTCGGAGCACAGTCGCTCACACGATCAACATTCACGAGCATCTTATGAGAGGAACTCGGATCACCATTCCCGATCTTACGAAAAGAGTCGGGACCGAAGAGATGACCATCACCGAAGTAGTGTTCGGGAATACTCGTCCGAAAGTCGCTACCATGCGCACCGCGATCGGAACAGCGATTCATCGTCGTCACGTCACGGGAATCAAACAAGTTCTCCGAAGTCTGGCGAGGGAAAAAGACACGGAGAAGACAGACGCAGCCTAGAGACCGACAGGGAAAAAAGATGACAGCTTCTGACAAGCAAAGTTTTAATCACCTTTTTATCACTACATTCCTGATTCTGTTAACTACCAAAAATAGAAATCCAAGAACATTTCAAAGTCGCCATATTTTTCATTTATTAAGTTTATTTATTTTCTAAATTAACATCGATTATATGTTCGTTGACTGTGGAGTTGTAAAAAGTATGTAAATACTCCTAGTAAAAAGCCCTCACATCTTGTCTCCCTTAGAGTAAAGTTCCACTTTACGAAAGAAGTCAAATTGAAAATCTCTTTTCTTGTTTCTCTGCTGTGCAAGAGAAGCTGGTATGCGCAATATCTTGTAGAAGTTTTGTACCGAAGGTAGATCGTATTTTAACATATTTTGCATCAAAGTGTAAAAAAGATTTACTGTAGTTGTACAGTTTTGAAAACAAAACGTGCGCCCAGAGGTATTAAAAGGGGTTTGTTTTGTATGGCGTGCAATATAGTTTATATCTTTCAATAGCCTGCAGTGCAGGCGTCTCTTTTTTTCGCGAGCGAACGTTATAAGCTTGCGATCGTTTATCCGACCGGCCATATTTGACTTGGAATAAGAGTGGACGGTGGGGGTAGGGGGCGGGGGAAGGGCGAGAAGAATCTTTAGTCCCCCTCTCCTTATTTTTGACCGTCGACTGCCTTCTTAGTACAAAGTTCTTTCTCTCCTCAGCCTTGCGCTGCTACTAAAACCAAAGATGAGGCCATCATTTTCGTTAAGAAAATGCTGAGTACTCGCTCGCCAAAATTACGCCTGCTCTGCAGGCTAATCTTTCAATGACATGTCTTCGCGCACTCCGACTGGTCGAAAATCTCTCCATTATTGTATGGGTAAAAATATAGGAATTTACGAAAGCAACAGGCCTCACTTTTTATCAGTGGAGCACAGCGATAATCCATTACGTACGACATAAACCCATTTGGTGCGCATGTCTGCAATGAGCCCATTGTGTAGCTGTTGGACTCTCGCGTCAAAACATTCAAGGTGCTAAATTTTGGCGTTTGCCGCTCCCGGAAAGAGAGCACAATATTCCCGGTAAAAAAATATTTTCACTTTGAAGTTCAATGTACTAGTCATCCCAATTAATAATCATTTGTAAAGATTCTCGACACTACCAACCACTTCCTCTGAAGTCAAAAGAGACTAATCTTAATTTGTCTTATTCGGAAATTTTGAAACCCTGCCCTCCAAATTCCTTTCTGGGGTTAAACAATGCGGAATTTTTTAAAGCTTGTACTATGCTAAGAGGAAGGGTTTTTCTTTTTTGGCTAGTCTATCCGTACATGCAATACGCCAAGAGCGCGCTAAGATTTTCATGGACTGCTCAGACGAAAAAGTTTGACTTCTAGTCGAGTCGAGTCGCATGCTACTCTATGCACAGAGGACAATGAATTCCCCGTGAGGAGTGGTACATTTGCATCTCGCCTTGCGATCTTGTCATCTTGTCTGACAGTTCAAGCATTCGGTGACGCCGATGGCTCTGACTGCTGAGTGTATGAAGAAGTGAAAAGAACCAAAAAATTATCGAGAGGAAATTGTGGAACCTTACATGAAAATAATTGCTTTTATTGAAAGGATCAAATTAGTTGCAACGAAAGCAATGGCCTAGTCGATCAGGTTTACGACCAAATTATTTGCAATACAAAATTTTTTAAGAAAAAAATCACAGACACTTGCACTTTATCATATCATATAAATGCTGGACTCCCCTTTTACTGACATGTGAAGGAATGTATTCGTGGAGTTACACTCACAGAGTTAACCGCTGGTCCACAACGCAAATCAATCCTGTGAGAGATATTGGTGAGAAATCAAAACCTCGCCGGACTGACTCCGCGAGCGGGAACGATGAAGTAGATCCTTTGATCTGATTGGTTACTCGCTCAAGATTATCTTTTGTGATCCTGCCAAAAGTGTGCTTGTATACGGCTAAAATACACACTTTTTGACCTCTGTAACGCGGAAATAGTTTTTTCGTAGCTAAGGGTGAAATACGTCTTTGAAACGAGGAAACTGCTATGAGTTTTGTGAATTTGTTTGAAATTCTTGGTGTTATCTTTTAGCGTTTAAAAAATCTTTCATTGACTAAGTCTGTTTGTTCAAGATTTTTAGGTTCATTTTTTAGCATTTTTATCCCAGTTCGCAAAAACGCACAAAGAAAATCAACCTCGTTCAACTCGTCGAGAGTCCACACTTTGGTTAATGGCGCTAGTCGAGGAAGCAACCAATCTCAACCCACAAATACCTCGGTTTATCTTTACCGTGCTGGGCCTGGTCCTAGGTTTATTTCCGGTTCCATGGCCCTGCCACGTCACCATTTCCAACATGTCAGGGTTTCTTGCATGACGTCTGTTCCTAAAATAAGACCATAGTTGACAACAAGAGAAGGTCTCCTTGTTCCACGTACAAACTTTAGATGTTGGCAGGGTTTTGAACTATTGACACTCATTTCGACAATATGGTTGTAACTGCTCCTCCTTCTCCAGTTTCTTTGGATCACCTGTACGCGAAGAAAGATTTAGACCCACAGGAAGATGTATTTTTGAGCTCGCCAGATTTTCTCGACTCATGGGCCCAGGTGAGTTGGCAGATTTCCTGATTCTCACATATAACGCTCGGGTAAAATGTTTTAAATGCATATAGTTTGTTTATTTGAATGAAGCCTTGCTACCTGTCTTTGGTCGAAAATGAAACTTCTTTCGTTCGTTCGAAGATGAAGAGGATTATTATTTTTATGCTGGATTCGCACACCAACATGCACAGAAAATTTTCATCTTCATATCGTTCAGAATTCATAGTGAACATAGAACTATGTTTTTTTTTGTCCATGTGTACATCTAATGCAAGCTTCGTCTTACTTAGATTTGATTGTTTCGACCATTGTGAAGATATTTGCTTTTTTGAGCTCTCAGATTATACAGAAAGGTACAGTTTCACTTAGACAAACGAAGGTTCAAATGATAATTGCCAGAGACATGATATGCACGTAACAACTTGCGCCACTAGGGCTTTATCAAAGCTATATCATTGTTTGTTCCAGTTACCTACGGTGTTTTCGTGTTCTGTGCTTAGAAAAAGAATGAAAGGCTGATTGATTTTCAAAAATTACTTCCAATTTCCAAAGCGTTTTCCCCTCAGAACAGTATTGTTTTCGGTAGTCTGACTCACAGAGGAGTCAGAGCGATCCTTTATATTTTTGATACAGCATCTGTAACAAGCGATCAATGTAAAATATTATTATTGTTTGTCTAACAAGGCTGAATCGAAGCTTTAGTCGAAAAGTTTTAATTTATGTAGAGCAGAACAGATCTTTTACACTATACAGTATTGAGGGTCAGATACATGTATGTAGCATAATTATTATGCTGCATAATTTTGGGCTCAATGCTATAGTCAGAGCATTGAACATAATACTGGTATAATGTCCAAATTTCCTAAAAATTCCTCAGATGTTACAGTTCAACAAGAGTTAAATTCTGTAGCCTGAGTACTGTCAACACTGAGCTGCACTTTACATATAGAAATTTGATCCAGCAACGTGTTGTGTTCTGAACTTCACTGAGGGCCAGGGTTCACTGGGCTGGCAAAATTTGTTTGGCTCTTCTGAAACTCTCGACAATCTTTGTTAAATCTCTGCTTAATTTTAAATTTGTCAGGAGTGGGTGCACTGGAGAACAGAAAAGTATTCATAGACCACAACTGCCCAGTCATGGTAACAATTATTTCAGTTAAAGGAAAGGGGGAATAAAGTCTTGAAGAGTGTGCTTGCTCCGTTTTGCTTTTTCTGTTCTTGTGAATTGGCTGCTCTCTGTTTTAAGTCCAGAGCATCAAAGAAAATTATCCTTTTCATAAAGAATGCATTTGTGCATTATCTTCCAGAGTGATTTTGCTATTAACACTGATGGTGGTCTTCTCGACATCGGCCTGTTATTTGGGGGAGAATTCCCTGATCTTGGTGATTTATCTCCACCTCACTGTGAAAGCTCTTCATCAGATTCATACATGACACCCAGTCCTAATACTGTTGATGATGAGCTGCTTGATATTCTTAGTTCAACATCAACATCACCTGGATTGCCGCAAAACAGTGAAGATGTTGCAATTGATCTCGGTAAGTGGAGTTCCAAAAAAAAAAAATCAGTCTGTACAGAATAGATTTTTTTCTTAACTCTTTCACTCCCAAGCTCCAATTCTCATCACCATCTGCCATACAATTTTTATGATACTATATTCAAAGAATTTGATATTTGATCAATCAATAATCCTCTCATTGATAATTTTCTTAATTCCCATCACTTGTCTGCATGATATTGTAAAGACACATTCTGTCTTGGTCACTCACTGGAGTTAAATGGTTCAGCTACTTATTATGTACTGCTTCCTAAACAAGGTCTCTGTGGCCAACACCTTTATGTGGACTGCTTCAAAAAAGAATTGTTTTAAAAGAGCTGTTTTATTCTTGCTGTCATTGCACAAATTAAAAGCAGTTACCACTTGTGTACCTTGTTCTGAAAGGAAAGATTCTGTCACACGGACAAACATAAAAAATTGTTTATGTCTGGTGATCATTTTATGATCTAAGATTGTCTAAAGGATACTTCAAAGAAATTGGATCAAGAGTTATTGTAATGTTTATTATATTCTGCTGCACTTACCTTTTTATATAGGATGGAATGTTGAGCTCCCTGACTTAGAAGGGAATATTGATGCTTCAGAATCGGCAACTAATGAAACCTGCCTGTCAACAACAGTCGAGTCCTCCACAGTATCAGTCAGTCAGTCCATAGTTTCTCTCTGTACGTCCTCTGCTTCCAGGGTGTGTAAGGTATGTCATGAGAACATTATGCAAAGAGGTTTATGTACTTAAAGTAGCCTTTTTTATTTCTTCTTAAGATAATACTACCATTCTTTTCCCTCAGAATTGTGTACATTTGCAATCTCAACCAGTAGTTTTGAAATTATGTAAAATCAGAGGTAAACTGAGAAAAATTTCTTTTCAGCTCAGATGAACCAAAAATATTTGAATGGATATTTCAACTTGCTTGTACACTAAATGGTTTCTCATTTTGTAGAGATGTTACTAACCTTGTACAGTGTAAAGTAATTTCCTGGAAGAAAACTAGTGTAATTTTAGTGAGTTTAATTCCCTTATTTTGATTATTACAGTCAAAACCTCTGGTTCTTACAAGTGAAGAAAAGAAGTTATTAGAGATTGAAGGAGTTACCTTACCTACTGATATGCCTCTCACCAAGGTATGACATTCTATGGGTGCTTTGATAGTGTGATTTCTCTTGTAACTATTTGACAGTGTTCATTGCAAACCAGTATAGTCATATCAAACTGAACCAATACCTGTAAACTTTTTCTGTTAGTAAAGCAAGCTAGGTTAGCACACCCTTTAGCTTTTCAAAAATCTTTTTCTTAATCCTCAATATTTAATTGTGCGCAAAACCCTAATGTAATTAGATTTGGCATATTTTTTCTTACATTATATGATGAGAAGGGATTGGTTATTTCCAGGAGTGATTAGTACAGTTGTAAATAACAAGATGATTTTTAGTCAGTACATGTACAGATACCATAGAGAAAGTGCAAAGTTTATCTTCAAATGTTTTTTCATTTCTTCAACTATAGGCTGAAGAAAAAGTTCTCAAAAAAGTGAGAAGAAAAATAAAGAATAAGGTGAGAAATTATTAGATTGTGTTTTATGATAATCAAGGCTATTGTTGTAGTGAAACTCATGAAAAGAAAAGGTATTTCCTTCTTTTGCATTGATTTGGAAATTTCCCTACATACTGGGTTAATGGAAACCTTTTTATGAGCCATCCTCAAATGAGAACTTTGTAATTTTATTTGAAGCAATCTGCACAAGAGAGTAGACGAAAAAAGAAGGATTACATTGATGGACTAGAAGAAAGAGTGAAAGCTTGCACTGAGCTTAACCATAACTTATCTATGAAAGTCAACAGTTTGGAGAAACAAAACAAGTGAGTCACACTCCATTCAGTTTGGGGCAAGGCTTGATAAACCCTTTGATGTAGATGGCTCATTCTGTAAGGAGTGACAATGGGAGAGACTTGTACCATGTTTGGTAGAAAATAGGCAATGATGGTTGGTGTAGTTACTGTGCTAATTTGAACATGAAAAACTTGTACCACATGGTTGATAGAAAATAGGGATAATGCTTGGTGTATTTACATGCGCTTATGTGAACATGAATTGCTTTAGGTCCCTTCTGGATCAGCTGAAAGAGCTCCAAGCACTGGTAGCATCTACACATCCTACTAAAGCTCAGGCAGGGACATGTTTGATGGTGCTGTTTTTGGCCTTTGGTTTGGTTCTTTTTCCAATAAACAATGCTCCTGGAGAGCAGAAGGAAGCTGTTGCAAAATATGCACCAGCCATTGGTAAGTCACTTCTCCAAGGGAAGGAGGGGGGGTTGGAAGGGGTATAAATGACAAGGATTTCATTTTGTGTTTTTCATCAGATTTTTGAAAGCTTAGAAATTCCATTTTATTGATTTTCATTTTGTTGACATCCTTTCTGCAGTGCGTTCTCGTACACTTCTTCAAGTTAAAGATGAGTACACAGATGAAGTTCCAGAGGTTGTACAATTTAATCTGAACAGTACAGATTATTTGAAGGCTGCTACTCCTCCCATATCACAGAACGCACCAAAATCACTTGGAGAAGTTATGGTGGAGGTCTCAGATATTGACAGGAGTCAAGCAGACAAAGTGAAGCCTCAAAAAAGATAATTGATGACTCTTAATAAACCCATGCAATGTAAATAGTTTTATAATTTAAAGAAGTCGTTTTGTAGAATTAGTTTTTTGAATACCAGTAGTTTGTGGTCTACTACTGTGTGGTCCACATCAACTTTTATTACATACCTTTGGCACTTAAAGAAAAGATCTTCCCTGACCTTTTCCCAATGATGGAAAAATTCAGTTGTAAATATATTTGTTCAAGGTATGAAAGGGTAATGACACAGACTTATAAAGAGAAGAAAAGCATTGGAAAAAGTGACAGCATTAAGAGCAAAAATAGTAACATTTCCTTTCCATGACAGCTGGGAAATAATTCAGACTACTTATTCTCTATTTCTTAGAGGAAAGTTACACTTTTGGAATGCAAAGCACTGATGTTTATTTTGTAAAATGTAATGTAAATTTATAAATAATTAAGACATAAAGTTAACAGTGTATGATATCGTACCACTTAGAGCAGACAAGGATATTGTAATCTAATGACTGTATGTTATGAATATTTGTTTAGAAAAGAAAAGAAAAGAAAAATAAAGTATGGTATAAAATTTGGAAATCCTTGTTCTATTTTGTTCTCAATAGCCTTTTTTTCCTGCTGCCATATTTACTTTTGATTTTTGTGGTTGCATTGGAAAAGCAGTTATTAAAATTTAATTGAAATGGTTACCTTCTATTTAAGGTTAACTTTCTTCACCACCATGGGTAACCAAGACAGAAGTTCCCTTTACAATATGAATAGAATATCAAGCTGACAAGTGATAAGAATGAACAAAAATATTTGTAAGGGGATGATATTAGTTGATCCAATGACCGAATTCTCCATACTAACATTGAGAATTATATTGCAGATAGTAAGGAGAATTGCTTGTGAGATCTAGGGAATAAACTCACTTAGTAAAAAGCCATTGGTATGCTGTACATGTAACTGGTTTCTGCACTCCATAGTTATTTCATGTGAACTACAGGACTGGTTGGGTTTTTTTTCTTTCAATCTAATATTTGCAGGGATTATCATTTGGTCTCCAGAATTTGTGCCATTTATTCCATCATGCGTAAAGGATAAGACCAATTCACTCCAAATTACTGTCGTTTTTTTATTTTTTTTTCTAGTTAAAGAATGAAGGACTTACCAGATCGCGTATGTACCCCTTGTAAATTTGGGGCACTGTAGCAAGCCTCTCCTCCCTGGTGTATCACAGATTGTTACAATTTGTGATGGCATTTAAACTGTTATGCAGCGTAACTTCTAAAGAGACTAGGAAAAGATACTTTTCATAGACTGCGATAGAAATGTGACAGTGAAATATTTTAGAGAGGGAGGTCATATATTTATGAGTAAATCATTTAAATTTATTAACTAATAATATAAATGGATAAATTACTCAGTTCTGATTGGTTAACATAAGTAAATGCAGTTTTCAGGTAATTCAGTGCAGAAGGGAGTTAATTTAGTGCAGAAGAGGGTTAATTCAGTGCAAGGAAAGTAACAAATCAGACATTCTGATTGGTCAATAATCAAAGAAACTCACAGATAGCCAATTAAATGCGAGCCTTGGATGTCGCAACAAAGTTTGAAAATTTGCGAGCGAAACAATGGCCGGCGTTTTAAGGGAAGGTACGTTTTTCTTGGGGGGGGGAGGGCTGGG